GATTGGAAAATAAGGGCAAACCTATGGGTGAAGTCATGCATGTGCCATCTTTGTGAGTGTGAGAGTTGTATTTGATTTCGGGACTTCAAATTTTTGAGAAATTTTGTGTGATTATGGAATCATCTTTGTTGTGTAGTCATTTGAGTACCTTTGTTGAGCTTGAACTTGCATTTGAAGCAAACATTGTGAGCTTGAGTACACTTGATAATGGTGAGTCACAATTTGAATCTTTGAGTGCACAATTGAGCTTTGTATGTGTAGTTTGAACCTTGTTGTGTGCATTTATGTTGAGTCTTATGCAACACTATTTGTAGACATCCTTATTGAACCGAGTGATCTTGAGTTTGCTTGAGGACAAGCAAAAGTTTAAGTTGGGGGTCTTGATGAGTCTGAGATTTTGACTCATTTAGGGCTTTGTTTTATTAGTTTAAGTGTCCTCAAATGCCTAATCTATGCTCTAAACTAATGTTAAATTGTTGATTTGTAGCTATGAAGGCTAAGGAGCAAGGCAAGGACCCTATTGGGCAAAAAAGAGCTAACAAGCTGAAGAAGTGAAGAAAAGCGATCCTGGTGATCGCCAAGACCATTCGACGGTTCGCCGAGTGTCTCGTCACTCCACCCAAAGTTCCAACATGCTAGCCTCGGGGACGAGAGAAATTAGACGAGGCATAAACCCTATCGGCGATGCGCCGATTTGATCGGCGAAGGAAGGTTAAACAGACAAAAGTTACAGAATAATCAGTGAAGATTCAAGCAAACGAGCGATCCAAAGGAACAAAGGGCGTATCACGAAATCCATCGCCGATCTCAACATAGACCACCTAAAGTTATAGTTCCCTTTTAGATGAAAACACGAATCAAGAAGGCGATGGACATGGGTGATTGGTGAGTCATTGATTGGTCCGCGAAGCTCGACTTTCCTCGCCGATTTGCCTCAAAAGGTCAAATTTTGGATCAATATAAATTGATATTTTGAAGAGAGAGAGGATCAAAACTATGAGAAACTCCTACCCATAACGAAAAACATTGTTCTTGTTGAGTTTTTGAGACTTTCAAGTAGATTTCAAGTAAATTTCAAATTGGGTTTTGTAATTAAAGCTCCATTGAATCATTTTAACAGCTGGAAAAGTAATACCCAGCCATGGAAAATGTAATAGGTATTGAAGTCTTACTCTTTATGATGAGTAGCTAAAACCCCCATACTTGGGGGTATGACTATGTGACTAATTGTCTGATTTAGCTGATGGGTGTTAGGGATTATTAATCATAATGCTCTTTTGAAGTGGGTTTGATTTATAGCTGTTGTTAAATTGATATATTGGAATGTGTATTTCGATATTGTTAGTGTCTTATGCTTGCTTGAGAGAGAGGTGTAAAGCTAAGGTTATAAATTAGCATTTGTAGTCTTTGGGTTGTTGTGGGTTCAGTTCGAGAGAGTGAATTCTAAGCTTAATGCTACCTATCTAGCTGGAGAGAGTAGGTGAAGTGAGGTTTTGGGCTGTTTATTGTAAGAAGCTTGTTGAGGTTCGAGAGAACTCACCTGAAGCGTAATAATTGTTAGAGATAAAGCTATTGTATCTAAGGTCCAGCCTACCCGCTATGATTTAGAAACCGTTAGTAATTACCGAGCACCCATTTAGCAAAATTGGTTGTTAGTCGGTCATACACATGAGTATCTTTTAATTACTTGTTTCTCCTTTGTTGTTTGTGATTGCTTTACTTGCTAATTTCCTACCAAATCCCCCATCTGACATTCATGTCACTCCCTCAATTTATTTCAGTGCTTTTGATAGTTTTCATTTCTATAACCGATTAATTTGCATTTATAACTTCATAATTGAATTCAAACTTGTACCACTCCCTGTGGGTTGGACCCCAACTCACTTGTTGGATTTTATATTAGATTACGATCACCCACATATAGTATTGGATGAGGTGTGGTTGATAGTTAATCAATGGGCAAGTGGAGCGTACCATCCAAAATTTGGAAGATATGATAAAAGAGTGTGTGATCGCATTCAAGGGTAATTGGGATGATCATTTGCTTTTGATTTAATTTGTATATATTAATAACTACCACTTAAGTATTGGTATGGCTATATCTGAGGCATTATATGGTAGGAGGTGTAGACCTCCTATAGGCTGGTTTGAAGTGGGTAAAGGTTTTTTGATAGGTCCCGAGTTGGTACATGAGGCTATAGAGAAAGTTAGGCTTATTAGGGAAAGGTTGAAAACGACTCAAAGTCGACAAAAGTCCTATGCCGATGTTAGAAGAAGAGATCTTGAGTTTGATGTGAATGATTGGTTTACTTGAAACTCTCACCCATGATGGGTGTGATGAGATTTTGAAAGAAAGGGAAGCTTAGTCCCCATTATATGGGCTCATATCAGATTTCAAGGCGTATTGGTAAAGTTGTTTATGAACTTAATTTGCCTAATGACTTGGCATCGGTACATCCAGTTTTACATGTCTTCTGTAATGACCCTAAAAATGAGCTAGTGAAACTAGAGCCTAACGTGTGTTCGTCATGAGTTTTGATGTGGTTTAATGTTCTCCCGAGCCATGGTTGAGGTGTTTAGGGGTTAGACGTCAAGGTACGACTCCCCAAGGATCACCCTAAGGGTCCATAAGGAGGACCCTAAGTCTAAACCCCAAGATGCCAAGAAAACCATCAACTTGGCCAAAACTTTGTGACCTACGGAGGGGGTTCACGCCCCGTAGGTCCATCCATGCCTCGTGGATGTCCTCCGTAGGTCAAGAGGCATAAAACCAACTTGCAGCCCCAGTCTATGGACTAGCAGCACGGTCCGTGAGTCCATGACGTGATTGGGCACTGTTATTCTGGTGCAGTCTCGGCAAATTATTATATGGATGATTATTTTAAGTGTTTTAAGGTATTTTAAGACTATAAAAGCATTGAAACCCTCATTTAGACTTCATCTCTCATAATCAAAACCCTTCCCTTCTAAAAAGTTCTCTCTAGAAACTCCATTGGAGATCAAGGTCAAGTTCAAGCTAGGGTTGGGATTTCAAGGTGTTTCTTCTTCAATTTCGTGTGATTCTTCAAGTATAAGGTATGGTGATCCTTCATCTAGGGTTAGCTTTCACCCTAGAGTCAATTTCAAAGAAGTTTTAAAAGTTTTCAAGTTACACAAAACCCCTAAGTTTTACTCAATCTGATGGGTTCTTGCATCAAACATTTTCAAATGATAAACTATGATTATATTGATGTTTAATGGATGATTTAAGATGAAAAATTCTATGAACCCATGATATCTCTCAATTCCTAAATTTTGCCTTATGAAGTGGGTTGTTGATTATGAATGAATGATGATGG